TTGATATGTTTCAATCATGACCATCCAGCTCCTTTCAAACTCCTCCACCGTCAAGCTATGGTCCACTCACAACTCGAATGCCTTGTGCAGCTCTGGACGTCAGCAAAGAACGGTCGTAGCGTCTCCTCAGCCTTCTTTATCATGTGCCACCTGCAGTGCCTGTGCACTGCCAACGGAAAGACCTCCTCTATGCCTGCACGCATGCTGAAATACTGGCCTGTTATTATGTTCATCCGAGCAAGTCCATCCATACACTCCAAGAAGGTCTTGAGCAGCCAAGTGTACCCATCTGTGTCTTCGTTCCAAACGAGCCCGCATCCGAACTACAATGACTGATTGTGGTTATTTATTCCTACAGATGGAGCGCATGGCATCTTGTACATATTAGTGAGATATGTCGCGTCGAATGAAATGCAATGTCGGAAATGTTTGTAGGCTCTTCTTGCAGCACCATCCACCCAATACATGTTCCTGACACGGTCTTCATCGTCCAATCTTATCCTGTAGAAGAAATCTAGATCTTTCTTCGCTTTCTCATCGAAGTAGGCCATAGTGGCTTCTATGTCAGCCAACTTGCTCCCTTTATGGTACTTTGCCTTTAGGTTCATGACGTCAGCTGGTATGTAGGGCATGCTACTCAGAGTCCCATTTTTGCTGTGGATGAGGGATAGTATCTGGACCATTCTTGATGGATCGACGTTACAATCATGTAGTAGCTTTATGAATTTCTTCTCGAGCGGGGTGAATCCTCTATGGGCGATCAGAAATTTTACTAGGTCGAACTTCTTTATGAGTTCGTGGTTGTGCTCGTCAAAATATTCAGTGACCACCCACCGTGCTCCATCTACGTTCAGCTTACACCGGACAGGGCATTCCGTCTTGAGAATGATACCTCTCTTTCGTTCCGGAACGACAAGCGCAACACCTTTACCCTTCTTGTTCTTTCGTACCTTGTAGCACCTCATATCACATCTGCTGTACTCGTTAGTTTTTATAATTTTCCTATGGTATTCGGAGTTGACCGCAAACCCATGTAACTTGGCATATGTCTGGTAGAATTCCTTTGCTTCTGCGAACGAATCAAATCTCTGCCCAACGTACGGTGGCTGAGGTACCATGATTTCTGATTGCCCACCATCTTCATCCCCTTGTGCTTCATCGTCAGTTTCATCATTCACTTCAGTATCGGCGTTTGTTTCATCTACTTGAGTGTTGCTTGTGCTGGTGTTCAAAGGTGTGCTTGTCGGCATTGCTGGAACGATTGCCATTTCCGACACTGACTCGACATTGTTTGTGGCATGATTGATGGCTAGCTGGTGGAACGCGTCTTCCGTGCGCTCAGAGCTCCCCGCAGTAGATGTCCCCGCGCCACTATTGATTGTAGTTGAAGGTCCTGTAATAAAAAAATAGTACGAGCATAAGATTTTGCTTGAATGGCATGTTTATCGTAACAGAGTACAACAACTGCATGTGATTTGGCATGACATCATTCACACAGCAAGCCGTGAGTCTGCATATGGACATGCATGGCAACTGTAGTTCTCCAGTCATGGGAGCTATAGTCCAACAAACATGGCAACTACTGTTGCCAATGCATGGCAACCAACTTCTTTCAGTACCAAAACTTGGATTCTATATCCATGGCAGCTGCAGTTCAACATACATGGCAACTACTGCTGCCAATACATGGCAGCCAGTATATTCTAGCATCAAAACTTGTATTCTAGGCTTGAGCTCACTAGGCAAATGCGATCAATCATTAGTGTTGCACACACTCTTTTAGCAATTGGCAAATCCTGAAGACAATATATGACTCTTTTGCACACGACCACTTGGTAGCATTTTCTGTTTGTTTTTTCCACCACCACCGTTACAAATCTTCTTTTCCTCACATGCTATTCCCACAAAAACAAATGCAGTATTGCTTTCTGGTTCAAATTTTTTTACCTTGTTGTGCCGATCTTTTGTGGTATGTCATTCCAATTTGATGTGCTCTATCTGCAATAGTGATGTCCTGCAATTGTGAAGCTTGCCATGAGATGTTTGCCGATGTAGTCCCACTGTAACAACCTGTGATCATGGTAGCAGTTGGTCATTGCATGGCAACTGTAGTTTGTTCAACATGGCACATGTAGTGGTGCAACCATGCCGCACAGATTTGTTCACACTTGTCATCCATGGTTGTTTAGACATTGCAATCACATTTGATCATACATGGCAACTGCAGTTGTCCAGGCATGGCAACTGTAGTTGTTCAGGCATGGCAACTGCAGTTGTCCAGGCATGGCAACTGAATCTGTCCAGGCATGGCAACTGCAGCTGTGAGCTATGTTCCTTCTGCTAATTCACCGTCCGCAACTTCATTTTTATGGACTTACATGTGTATGACGTCGATGGCAGGTACATGGTTGCCGCTTGATGCCACGTGCTGCATGAAGGTCCTACATTTTTTCCGATATAACTCGTGAGTCTTTTGCCATCCTTTGCAAGTTTAACTTTCATGTCCACACTAGTATGTTTCTTTTTCGTATGCGTTAACTTGATTTGCCACATTAGCTACTTGAAGTTGGTTGCCCGTACATTTGTCAGTGTTAGCGCCCTGTGACTGAACTTGCCATGGTGCCCCCATGAATGCGTTTTGGTCATAAGAACCTGCGAAAAATGACATTGTAGGACATAAGTAGAATGTCATCTTCATCGTCCCGAACATGGCAAATGTTCTTTTTTGTTATCACGCATCATACGGATGCCTACGTACTGCTCTAGTAGTGGCATCAACGGGCCTGCAGAAATGAGTTGATTGTACTCTGTTGCATCCCAAGGGGGCGTTTCTGGCCTTTGAGAAACCCAAGGATCAGTGTCGTCTTCGTGATTCATTCTCCCGCGTTTTGTTTCTGCCAATGTGTTCTCAGTCACTGCATGAACAAGAACGCATCAACAATCCGCAAAAAATGCATTTTTGCTGTTTGCACGTAGAAGATAACACGGCAATCTTATCACATTTCCTGCGTAGGCAACCAACACATCATGGCAAGTAGACATGCACATCCACTATCTTTTCTGAAATCTAGGTGCCAGCTATCATTTTGAAGCGATGGCAACAGCCACTAAAATAGGATGACAAGCAACAGGTTAACATGGTGGCAGTTAACGACAACGATAGGTGGCAACTGATGTTAGACCCAAGTAGCAACTATTTTTCCAACCCCCCTATGCCAAATTTCTCATTTCTCTCCCTTTTTTAGGGATTCCTACGCATCCTTCATTACCAACTACTTGCACCAAGCCAGCCAAGAACCTTAGCTCAACTCTAGCATAGTACATGGCAGATCTGGCGTATGTTGGTTGGCAAATGCGAATGCACACAAATCCGTGTGGTGTTTTGCCCCGATAGCGTGGATCCAGTCGCCATCTTCGTTGGCAAATTTGAATTTCTAATTTCTGGCCAAAAGAAGGACGAGAAACAGTAGGAGATCGGAGATTCACCTGCTTTTAGCTGGTCGTCTTGGGAGGGCGGGGTTGGAGTGAGGGGGTGGTTAGCGGTGGGAAGGCGCTATGGATCTGCTCTGGTTGCCATGGCAACCAGAGAAGGACGGCGATGGAGGTAGGGGATCGAGAGGTGGGACACGATGGCGGCAGTTCGGACTGGGGATCGAAAGGAGACCGGGACGGCTGGGTCGTGCGGGCAGCGCGGTCGTTTGGCCCGGACGTGTGGGCGGTTTTGCCACACACCGGACATGCGGGCTGTGGCTGCGCGCGCTCGGACGTGGTCGTGCGGGCGGGTTCTTCTGCATGCCACACGAGGCATGCGACACAACCACCCGATACACCACACGTGTGGCAGTTATCGGCGTCCTAAAATTATTACTTGCTGATGTTGTCATTGCCGCTGTCTATTGCTAGGGAAGGAGATAGAAGTACAACATAAGTGCCTCTGCCGGACTCGTAATTACCTCCTCCCACCGGCCAACGGCCGATGGCGCCACATATTTCTTCTTCGCGATGCTCCTCCAAAATCTGCGTCCGCTCACCCGGACTGGCGAATGATTCCCCCTCCTCCCTCCCCGGCAAGCGAAGCTGCCTCTCAGATCTCGTTCCTTCTCTCGTTTCTTCCCCCGCCGCCGAGCTAGCTCCACAGGAAGACGGAGGAGAAAATGTCACAGGGCGACCGCGGATGACTCCTCTGTCTCCTTTCTGCAGATGCCTGCTTTCGAAGCCCACATGTGTCTGTCCTTTGCGAGTGGATGAACCATCTGGTACAGTTCCCCCCTAGCCCAAGTAGGCGATCACGGTCCCTTACGTCTGTAAAATACTGCCAGATAACGTGACCCCTAATATTTTCCGTTCCGTGTAGCACACATCCCAACGAATATGGACGTCCAGGATAGTAGTACCCGGGTGCGTAAGCTCACCTGAATGATTTCGGTATCTTCGATGCCTCGCATGGATGGAAGCCAGCAGCGTTCCGTCTGCACGCCGCTGTAGCGTCAACAAGCTGTCGCCACAATTGTTGTGTTTGCAGGTTTATTTCTCTCCAGTGGTTTGGGAACTACTCCTGTTATCAGACACTGAAGCAACTATTGTTCTAGTTCTAAATCTCGACATAACCACGGGCATAAGTGCCTGCATTTCGGGTGTCAAGACTTGCACTACATCAAGACAGGATGAAAAAAGGGGCCCTCATTTTCAAAAAATAAAAAGTACTGCAAGAATAAATATATGAAAAATTAGCAGTATGACCACAATAATACATAAACATAAAATATATTTTAAAGAACCGATACAGAAACAAACTGAAGGTTATGCTTTATTTCCTGAACCAAAACTATTGATATCCAAGTATTTTACACGGAAGAAGTAATTAACCACCACACACTGAATATGCATTAGTAAGAGTTTGAAAATTCTATTAGCTAAGGGTTTCCTGAAATAATTTAGTAGAATGCCAAGAAAGAAGCAAATGTGTAGCACATCGAGTTGTCAAGGACAATACAGCAAGATCATCGAGGATAACTTGCAGAAGACAATATTTCTTCCTCCATAGTGTATTGCCTGCTTGCTTCCACAACAACTGCTTCTGTCGGCATGTATAGAAACTCAGTTTGACCCCTGTCATATCTCCTTGATGCAGCAGTATCAAGTGCCACACGCATATTAACTCTCAAAATTTCAAGTTTCATCTCGGCTTCGCTCATTGTAGGCCGCTCTTCTCCCTTCAATTTAATGCACATCGCTGCTAGCGTAGCTACCTCCTGGACTTCCCCATTTTCCTCTTCTATGAGTTGAGGATCTATTATCTCATCAAGGTTGCCTTCTGCGAGTAGTGAAACAAAATGTGAAACGAGGCCAACACCATCGTTGCCACCACTACGGTAGAGGCATGGTTTTTTTCTAGTTAGGAATTCTACAAGCAGAACACCAAAACTGAAAACATCACTCTTGTCTGTTAGGCGACCGGTATAATAGTACATGGGGTCTAAGTAGCCTATTGTTCCTTGCACGGCTGTAGTCACCCCGGTTTGGTCGATTGGGATGTATCTCGAAGCTCCAAAATCTGATACCTTTGCTGTCAAATTATCATCAAGAAGTATGTTAGATGATTTAATATCCCTGTGATAAATTGGCATCGAAGCAGCAGAATGGAGATAAGAAAGAGCTCTAGCAACTTCAAGCGCAATCCTTGTTCGATCATCCCATGACAGTGACATTGGGCCTTCCACATGAAGATGGTAATCAAGAGTACCATTTGAAATGAACTCATAAACTAGTAATGGCACTTCTGTCTCAAGACAACATCCAATTAGCTTCACGACATTTCTATGGTTGATTTGAGAAAGAATTGCAACCTCGTTTATGAAGTCATCGATTTCTCTCTGTACGACGATCTTGGATTTCTTGATGGCGACAACCTGTAGGTCTAAAATTCCTTTATACACAACACCGTGGCCTCCGCCGCCGGCCTCACGTGTTCTGTCAAAATTGTTTGTGGCCTTCTCTAGATCCAACAAAGGAATGATCATCCTTTCACCAAAATCTGTTTTCTGGGATATTAGTTGTTGCAATAGCAACCCATGATTTTGCTTGAACAATCTTCTTTTCAGTCTGTTTGCCCTATTTAACTTCATTTTGCGTGCAATAAACGGGGCGGCGAGCACTAAAAGTAAAATGATTGAGCTGCCACTAGCCACAAGACCTATGCCCAAACCTGTAAAACATGGTAACAAGGACGAAAATACAAAGTCATTAATTTTGGGCAACTGAATTCTTCAAAAAATAATAGATTGATGATGACTATGAAAATATGCTATCATTACCTGTAAATGGCCTTTTTGTTCTGACGCTGACGCATCCCAATTTCATAAATGGATCTCCATAGGCACCATCTTGACACCGACAATGGAATGTCCCGGGCAAATTGATGCAGATTCCATAACATGGATATGTTTCCTTGTGTTTACATTCGTCAATGTCTGGGCAAAGCACATAAAAGTACGAATGAATAAGCAATGCATGCTAAATAGGTAACTAGGTGGACTATTCTGCAGGTAGTAGAACTACAAAAATATTTGGCTGGTCCCTATATAACATCGTAGTGAAATAATAAGCATAAAGCTATCAATTAATCTGATCTTTACCTTCACATCCATTTGGTTTAGAAGCATTACCCTTGAAGCCAGGAGGGCACTGACAGTCATATCCTCCGTGTGTGTTTCTGCAATTGCCGTAACATGGATAGATGTCTGGATAATCGCATTCGTCGATATCTGGGTGTACCGCAACATAGTAAAAACCGAAATTAGTTATACCGATGTAGGTTCATGTAGTCAATGAGTAGAAAATGTATATAAACACACAAGTCAGTCGACTAAGAAACAACTATTTACTAGTCAGTGCCGCGCAAGGTGTCGTGGCATTGAAGATTTGATTTCCAATTATTTGATTTCTAGATATGGTAAGGATTATAAATCGATTCCATATATAGTTTAAAAAACAAGTGATATATGTCTGCAGTAAATAATTAAGTTAATATAAAGTTAAACATGTCATAACTAAACTGGTAATTGTGGCACGGATAAGTCCATTTATGCAAGCTCCGGCTGTAGAAGTGTATTCTCTAGCCAATGCAACCAAAAAATCGATCTGATGGGAGAGACCAAAACATGGATGGCTGCTATTAAATTGCAGTTGGCCGGATCTTGAACTCATATATGGACTTATCTTGACACCGACAATGGAATGTCCCGGGCAAATTGATGCAGATTCCATAACATGGATATGTTTCCTTGTGTTTACATTCGTCAATGTCTGGGCAAAGCACATAAAAGTACGAATGAATAAGCAATGCATGCTAAATAGGTAACTAGGTGGACTATTCTGCAGGTAGTAGAACTACAAAAATATTTGGCTGGTCCCTATATAACATCGTAGTGAAATAATAAGCATAAAGCTATCAATTAATCTGATCTTTACCTTCACATCCATTTGGTTTAGAAGCATTACCCTTGAAGCCAGGAGGGCACTGACAGTCATATCCTCCGTGTGTGTTTCTGCAATTGCCGTAACATGGATAGATGTCTGGATAATCGCATTCGTCGATATCTGGGTGTACCGCAACATAGTAAAAACCGAAATTAGTTATACCGATGTAGGTTCATGTAGTCAATGAGTAGAAAATGTATATAAACACACAAGTCAGTCGGCTAAGAAACAACTATTTACTAGTCAGTGCCGCGCAAGGTGTCGTGGCATTGAAGATTTGATTTCCAATTATTTGATTTCTAGATATGGTAAGGATTATAAATCGATTCCATATATAGTTTAAAAAACAAGTGATATATGTCTGCAGTAAATAATTAAGTTAATATAAAGTTAAACATGTCATAACTAAACTGGTAATTGTGGCACGGATAAGTCCATTTATGCAAGCTCCGGCTGTAGAAGTGTATTCTCTAGCCAATGCAACCAAAAAATCGATCTGATGGGAGAGACCAAAACATGGATGGCTGCTATTAAATTGTAGTTGGCCGGATCTTGAACTCAAGACCTCTTGGCTCTAATACCATGTAAAAGTGCATGCTCTAGCCAACACAACTAAAAGACCAATATGATGAAAGAGACTAGGCAATATATTTATACGCCAACACCAGCTACTACAAACTACATGATGGAGGCTCTCAATGTCCAGACTGGATAGCTCTTGATGGAGTGAGCTTGTAGATCTCGTGGCTCCACCAATATTGGCGATTTGTATTACCGTGAGCGAAAAAACATATCTGTTAAGGTATTTTTTTTATAGTGACTGAGAAATAGCAAATCCGGTATGTATATGTATATTGTACTCATTTCATCTTAATTTAGAAGGCGCTTATGTATTTTGAGGTTCAATTTTGGCCATCAATTTCAGTAATAAAATTTGGGTTATGTGCCACGAGAACAATACTATTTGAAGCTTCATTCTATTAGTGTTTTGACTGGCAAAGGATTACGTTCTTCATAATGCAATTTTCCACAATCATTGCTTTGCCATGTATCTTTTCTTTACAGCGACTTTGCCAAATACTTATGGAGCAAATTTGGAACTTCATTACACTATCACATTTCCGTGGCAGGGCAAATGTGCCATTTTCATATGGTTACTCGGAAAACACTATACCTAGCTAGGTGCGGTGGCTACATAAAAGTACTCCCTCCGCAAAGAAATATAAGAGTAGAGAGGGAGTAAATTACTTTGAGCATCTAGATAAAAAATATATTATTTGGGCAGTGTATTACTATTACCATAGCAGCCATGGGAGATGTATGGATTGCCTTGGAAACCACGACCGCACCTGCAGTTATGCCGTTGATCAACAGGATCACCATTCTCAGGACCTTGATCAAAATCTGTGGTGTAGTTAAGACAGAAGCTGTGATTACTGCGGCAGGCAGGTGACAACCCCCTGGTATCACATATCGAGCTGTTGATCGCCCAGGTCAGCATGGCGGGGGCTGTGTACTCGTAAGAATTGTCCGTCGAGTGAAAGAAATAGTCCGATTCCACAATTAACACACCGGCCGAGTAGTATCTATAAGAACCAAAACCAACCTGTTGGACCTGGAGTCCATAGGAAGCGCGGCCCTCCAGTATGGTTGCCTGGCAGCAGACGATGCCGGAGCAGGTATCCGTATCATCTTTGTTATTTCCGTCCGGGCAGAAAGGAGAGCAAGAGCTGACAAGGGTGTCGTTCTCTCCCAAGAGGATGACTTGGACGTTGCACCCGAGTGCTACCAAGTTGTTCCGCCCTGCTCCGGCTACAAAGTATGGCCCGTCGGCAGCGTATCCTAGGCCGCCGGCGCGCCATGTGCGGCGGCTTATGTTTCCAATGTCGCCATAGGGGATATCCAATGAGTTTCCGTTGATACGCACCGTGGCGTTGGGCAGATCGATGTCGAGCACCTGAACGGTTCCGTCGCCGAGGAAGAGCTGAGGCGGGCTGTAGGACTGGTTGCAGGTGAGGTTGAAGCCGCTCTCGTGGTAGCAGCCGGGCTCCACCCCGAACGGATACGGGATGCTGATGTTGCCGCAGTGGGTGGTGCAGCCGCTCCCCCCCGGGGTAGCTGCCCGAGCCGGTGCGCGCGCCACGGCGCACAACGGCGGCAGCAGCGCGGCAACCACAACAGCGGCAGAGAACGTTGCACTGGCGAGGGACAACGGCCAGGCACCCATTGTTTGTTTTTCCTCAACAACTACAAACAAAGAGGGAGAACGGAGAGAGAGAGAGATATGGAGTAGAATATATCATATATGTATTTGTTTAATGAGTCAGCTGGGTCGAGCGAACTAATTTAATTAGCACGCCGGAGTTAGTGTTTGTTCGTTACAAGAGCACGAAGTGGCTTAGTAAATTAGCTAGATGACACATTTTAGATAGCTTTCGGCCCGCATGAAGAAAAATGTACGATATAACCATGATTGATATTAAAAGCTATATGAATTGAGCGTCATAATAGTTTGGCCAGCGGACAATCGAGAAAGAGGTGTTTGATGGTTTCATCGTAATTACAAAAGCTACATCTTTGGCTACCCTTTCAATTACGTTTTGCCAAGTTATTCTTAGTCAGAACCACCTCCTTGTGAACAAACCACATGAAGACTTTGATTCTTAACAGGACATTGATTTTCCAAATATGTATCAGTTTTGGAATCGGACTAGAATCAATTAGGTCCAAATACATAGATTTCACTGTGAAAATGCCGTTCGTAGTCAATATCCAATGAATATTATCAGGCTCATCAGAGAGGTTCACACCCATCAACCATTTAGTCAATAACCATGCTTCCCATCAGTCTCCTTCCAAAGATTTCCGGAATTGAATATTTAGAGGATTGGACTATAGCACTGTAGCAACGTAGGCCTCCTTACGTTGTACAATGTTATATAGAGATGGATATTGACACGACATATTATTTGGGAGACGTGGCTAAATGGTGTAGAGACAAATATTGCGAGACATATTCGTATAGGAGTATGTGTATTACTGTGGGTTATATGAAACTGTGGAAATGACATGGGTTTTTCTAGACAAAATTATATAAATTTTTTGCAAGTGATCTACACGGCCACAACTTGGATCCGCATGTGATCGCACTCCTGTGGAAGCCAGGGAGTCTTTGGTTACTGGGTCTGCCCGATGGGAGATGGTAGTTCGGAATATCTACAACCGGTTTGGATAGCGGTCTAGTAATATGATAGGTGTTTAGTCATCTCGTCCTATTTCGCTGGTTGTGCATGTTATACTTTTTTATTCTTTTATTTTTCTTCAGCTCCGAGCGAGCTTGTTTGAGATCACAGACTTTTCGGTCACGTTGATTAATATAAAAAGGCTGCATGCATAATTCTGATGCAGAGGCCGGAGGTAATCCTTTTTTTTCTAAAATAAAAATAAAAGAATAACCATGATTGTTTTTTCACGAGGGAAATATAGAGAGAGGGGAGAGAGAGAGAGAAATTTGTTCAATGAACCAGCTGGGATTTAGCGAACTGATTTACTGCTACGCCGGATTTAGTGTTAGTTCGTTGCAAGAGCACTAAGTGACTTCGTAAATTAGGTAGATGACACTTTTTAGTTAGCTTAGCCTGCACGAAGAAAAACGCGTGATATAGGCATGATTGATTTTCCTGCGGGAAATTATATTGAACTCCCCAAAAGTAAGACATTTTAGCCAGTTGTATAAAGTCATGCGAGCGATCATTAACATCGGCAGAAACATAATCAGTCCTAGTCTAAAGGGACGAGGAGTCGAGGAGCATGGCAGAAGTTCGTTGATTGGTGAAACTTGTAAGGGATGCAAATGAGAAAACGTGCTTAACGGGTCAATAGCGGTCGACGACATCGGACTGACGAGATGGTCATGCTTCCTCCTCCGCCTCTTGCACAACGACGACGACCCAACCAAGAAGATATACGTAAGTACTTGTGATTAGAAAGAAATTATTTTATAATCTACAAGTAAATCATTTTTTAAAAATTGAGCGGTAAATCTTTTTCTCTTAGAAGTTTTTTTACTGGGTTTTTCACTTAGAAGTAGAAAGACCTGAAACTGACGCTCGCATTTTCCTAAATTTATTTCAGACTTTTAGACGTTGTGCGTTCAATGGGAAGAGACTTTCACGTCGACTACGAAGACGTCAGTGGCGACTTCATCAATATCAAGATGATATGTGGGCTAAATATCTCGGAGGTGCTCATACGGGTAGGGTGCGCGTTCATAAGGGTGAGAGCATGTGCATATGGATGAGCGCATGCGTATGTACTGTGTTTAAAAACATTCGGTTAAATGTTCCAAAATTTAAAAAGTAGACACATATTTATAAAAGTTCTATGATATAAATATAGGTAACTACATTTGAAAAAGTTCATTAATTAAGTAGTTGAGAACTTCGAAAAAATATTTTAGATTTTTAAATCTTGAAGAACTTATAAAATGTTTCCCATGTTGAACAATGTTTGCGAATTAAAAGGGTGTGCACAAATTCTAAATATATCAAACAAAATGAAAATTAAAGAGGATTTAAACCAAGTTCATGAATAAATAAATGTTTCCAATTTTTGAAATCTTAATTTTTTTAATATAATTCTGGAATTTAAAATGTTAATGGATTTTAAAATGTCCCTTCTAAAAAATATTACAAGTGATTGCAAACCTAAAGAAGTGTTCCAAATTGTAGAAATGATCATTAACTTTAAAAAATATTCATTAATATTTAAAATATATGTATTTTCTAAAATTGTTAGGACACATAACAATGTGAGGATAACTGGATACCTGTGACCCATTTCTCCGGCATGTGTCCATGCGATCACCGAGCCACCTTCCCCGGAACTAGTTTCAAAACTAATTGTATCGGCCACTTGAATTGAAGAAGTTACACGGACATATTTTACGGATTGATGTGGAGGCCATTTGGCGTATTCCAATTAGTCACATTTAGCAGAACGATTTTGGGGCAAGGCATTTTAAGAGAGTCATTTTACAGTGTATCCGGATGATATGGACCGTCCGTCGGAGTGAATTCGACGATCCAGATCCGATGCAATACGCTGATGTCACGTGTATTATATCAGACCCCGAGGGGCATTTTCGGGAGAAAAAATATTTCGAACTGATCTGATTTTCTCTCCCAAATATTTCGAGGGTATTCTCGGTACGAATTTCAGGGCTTTTTTGGCTCGATTTTTATCCCGTTCGCTAGGGTTTATTCCTCGCCACCGCTAGGGTTTTAATCCTCGGCGGCAGGATTTACCGCTCGTTGCAGCCCCTCCCTGCCTCGTCGCCGGCAGAATCTAGCCGCGCGTCGCGGCCCCTCCCTCCCTCGTCACCGGGAGGATCTAGCCGCGCGTCGCGGCCCCTCCCTTCCTCCACCCCAATTCTCTCGCGATCTCGCACCACCTTTTCAACGAACACTAGAGAAGGCCCACTGCCCTCCCCGCGGCGGCCGCCGACGAAGAGTCGGCGCCATCCCACCTCCCAGTCCTCCATGCGGGTGCCTATAGCCACAAGGTTATATGCAACCTGTTTCCCACACCCCAATTGGTTGTTTGCGTCCTCTACATATTATTTCTCAGCCATGGCTACAGCTTTGATCTGGCCATGCATCTCGTCCGATGGCAAGGTGGTTCGGTATGGATCATGTTCTGCGGGACAAGATGAAGCCGGCCGCCGGCCTCGACGGCCAGCCCCATTCATCCAGCCCCGACTGCATGATCTACGAACGTTCAATCATTGCATTCAACATGTATTCTTTCAATTTGGCTGATAGGTGAGATTTGGAGATCAATAGAGATGATAAGCTATTAATTTTAGAATGTACTATAAATAATTCATAGCTTATATTGCTCAATATTTATGATGCTCGCTTCTTCTTGTGCAATTGCTGGACTGGGTTAACAGACTTGGCATGTGCTTTATATGAAAAATTAGATTCACATGGGATATCCACCTTTTCAAGATTGCTGTCAATTCTTATTATGATGTTTTAGCCTTGTTAAAGGGAGAGTAATGGTCCTCGCAAAAAGCAGAGAGAAAGGAATGAACATTTGATTCTTCCATATGTTGCATTTCATTCTTCCATGTTTAGTTATGTCCAACATTTGTTACATGCACACACTTGACATGGTTTGTACAAGTAGTAATTTTTCCTCTGTTTTGCAGGGCTATGACAGAACTGTAAGTGCATCTAGTGCCCCTTAGTGATTTTGGTGTATTGAAGACTTATAGGTTAAGTGACTGATGCGTTTGTGAGTGTACACAAGTCTATAAGTCTATGAGGAGTTTGATATTTACAGAGAAAGTCGACCCCTAAAAATGAAGTTCTTCGTCTGAAGACTTTGGATATCTGAAGACTTTCTAAAAAAATTGAAAGTGAAGAAATTGGTGTGACCTTGAAGACTTGGTATTCATCCAAGGAATATGAAGCGTGAAGACTTTTATTTTCATAGTTTCATTTTCTATTTCTTGAGTCATAGAAAACAACGTACTTTTAAAGGGGGTCGTGGAAATACTAAGAAAAAATTTCCATGTGATGCTCAACTCAAAATCCTACACCTACCAATCCCTTCGAGTGAAGCCATTGGAAATCTCATACAGTTCAGTCATATTCTTCAGTGACAGAGATGAAGTTCTTCTGGTCTCTGAGGAATTTTTTCTGACTGAGGAGTTAGGAATTCACCAGTGTGAATTGCCTACACAGTGAGGAACATGATAGCCTTGAGGATTTTGATAGTTAAAATTCCGACCGTTGCTGTGCTACGCGCCAGCTGTCCCAAAATATCCACCCACCTAACGGGCATATCAGACAGGGGCTTTTATGTCTTATCATGTCGGGCTGCTCCCTAGGCTATAAATAGCCACCCCCCACAACCACTAGCTGGTTGGCTGCTCCGAGAGAAACTGACACTTGTCATTTGAGAGCATCCCATCCTCTGAGGACTTTGAAGGAAAATCATCAAGTGAGGAAATCCCAAACCCAAACCTACAAAACCCCAAGTGATTGAGCATCAGTTAAGAGATTGATCCTGCGTGGATCCGATGCTTGTTTCCTTTGAAGACTGTTCTTCTTTCAGACGGTTAGGCGTCAAGGTCTAGAGCATCCAAGAGGAATTGTGGATCGCTGAGGTGACCAAGTTTGTGAAGGTTCGAAAGTCACCTGAAGACTTACCACGAGT